CAGCAGTCGTCGCAGCATGGCCTCTGCTGCGACTCCTGGCCTTCAGTACGATGTCTCTGAGTCTGCCGGTGTGAAGGTCGCCAATAGAGAGGTCGCAGGCCCAACTGGTACCCTGGCGTTGGTTGCAAAGGCCGGCTCCCGTTACCAGCCCTTCCCTGGCTTCTCCGACGCCCTCGAATTCTTCGCCTTCAAGGTTGGTTTTATAGCTCGTTTGCAATCCCTGCAGCATATGAGTGTGAATTGATGTGATCTCTGACGGTTTCTGCTTTCAATGGACAGTCTACACTCAAACGGTCGGCGTTGCGGATCACTCGGGAGGTTGAACTGCTGGGCGGTGAAGTTTCCTCGACACATTCGCGTGAGAACGTCGTTCTCAAGGCCAAGTTCCTCTCAAAAGACCTTCCTTACTTTGCCGAGCTTTTGGCGGAGGTCGCTTCCCAGACAAAGTTTGCAGGTATGTTGACGGCAGTAGTCAGTCATAACCTCAAATGGGATATTTGCTGACTCGAAACCTCAGGCCACGAGTTGAACGAGCTCGTCCTCAACCTCATCAAGTACAGACAGCAAGCCCTTGCCGCCGATGCTGAGAACATCGCCGTTGACGCTGCCCATGCTCTTGCCTTTCACCGCGGCCTGGGCGAAAACATTACTCCCTCCGCCAGTGGCCCTTTCGAAAAGTACCTCTCTGCCGAGGCCATCGCCGAGTTTGCTAAGGACGCCTATGCTAAATCTAACATCGCCATCGTTGGCAGCGGCTCCACCTCCGCTGAGGTGTCTAAGTGGGTTGGTGAGTTCTTCACCGAGCTCCCCAGCGCTGGCGGCTCTAGCCAGTTCAAAGTGCAGCCCAACACTGCCTCCAAGTACTACGGTGGGGAACAGCGTATCTCTTCCAAGGCTGGCAACGCCGTTGTGATTGCCTTCCCTGGCTCTAGTACCTTTGGCACTTCGGGCTACAAGCCTGAAGCTTCCGTTCTTGCGGCCCTCCTCGGCGGTGAGTCTTCCATCAAGTGGACTCCTGGCTTCTCTCTCCTCGCCAAGGCCACCCAGGGCTTCTCTCAGGTCCGTGTCGCGACCAAGAACAACGCCTACTCCGACGCCGGTCTCTTCACCATTACAGTCTCTGGAAAGGCCGACCAGGTTGCTGCCGCCAGCAAGAACGTGGTTGACGTTCTCAAAAAGACGGCTGCCGGTGAGATTGCCGGTGACGAGATCAAGAAGGCCGTTGCATTGGCCAAGTTCCGTGCTCTCGAGTCTGCTCAGACCCTCGAGACCGGCCTTGAGGCCACCGGTGCTGCCCTGATCAACGGCAGCAAGCCCTACCAGATTGGTGAGATTGCTCAGGGCTTCGACAGCGTCACTGAGGCGCACATCAAGGATGTAAGTCTTTTCTCTTTTCCTAATCTCAGCATGCTTTGCATCAAAATCACCTGGCTAACTCATCTTCCTTCTCCAGGTCGCCAAGTCTTTCCTCTCTGGCAAGGCTTCCGTTGCCGCTGTTGGAGACCTCTTCCAGCTTCCTTACGGCGAGGACCTCGGTCTGACCGTTTAAAGTGTAAACATTACATGTTAGACTGACTTGGAAAAAGCGTCCTTTCCCATTCTTATGTGTCTAGATCAATCTTCGCAGATATTCTCCTTTGTGATGTGGCTGTAGTTGTGTGACTGTAATACAATTGTATCTTATGCCATTCGGTGCCTTCCGAGTATTATAGGCCGTCTTACGCCCGATATTCCTCCTTTGAACCCATGTTTTGGGTATCCTTTCAAATTTCTAAACATGTTTTTTGACACTTCGATCAGCAGCAGTGTGATTGACAAAGCATGGCTTTGCTGCAGGCGCGAAGTCTGGCGATTGGGTTATACATCACTACCCCACAGATAGATGAACGTCAATTCATTGCGAGCACCTACCTCTCGTTGATGCTATACAGATAGTATCTCATCGTAGATTGTCATAGCTATAAATTTTAGAAGACTTGTTGCCGAATCAGGAAATGAATATTCCGAAATAGTCCTTCAAGGTGAGTTTCTCTGTTTCCTGGACTTCCGGCTGAAGTATATCCTGAAAGGAAACCAAGACAACTCGCAGGAAACGAACGCCTCATAGTTTGTGTGCGCTTTGGGGCAAGCAAACAGGATACTGCTCACTATCTATCAGACAGATTATCCCTTTTAAGATAACATCGTACAGATTCATCTGCATGCGATATTCGGGTTCGACCAAGGCCAGGGAAGCAGGGGATATGAGCTCGGAGGTATCGAGAGTCTGGTATTAATGCTTCCGACCATGCTAGCGAATTGGGGCCAATATTATAGATTTTTTGATAAGTCTAATGAGGGCCGGCCTGAGTCTATAGCGCTCGAGCAGTTACTATTTACATCAGTTATTATGAATGACTTGAACATAGCTCCAGAACAAGCGGTGGACCGGGTGGGCACGGAGGCTAAACAGCTATAGCTGTTAGCTCCTCCGATCAACCCCGTGCAGAGCCAATAGAATATGTGATCCGATAATATCTTCTTCCGCCATCTGATTCAGACCGTGCATACTGCATAGTAGAAGGGTATTTCAAACCTTCTCTAGTGCTTAGCGGTGACTTGCTCGCCTGTCAGTTTTTCGACTGCTTCTTTGGCCCTGTTTCGGTGCAACGGAGACCCGCAAGTTAGCCTGGTATCGCTCCTCGGCATCACATGAATATCGCAATGAAAGCTTCGGAAGTGTATCCAAGAAAGGAAAGAGAGCAACAGAAGGGACGGTAAGTAGAAACACCCGGGGTCAACTTACATATCACCAAGAGCAACCATGCAGACGGTCTGCCAGATACCAAGACCAATACGAGGAGCAACACCGCGATAGAGACCCTTAATACCGTTCGTCTCGTAAATGTATTTGAAGGTCTTGCCAACAGTCAGGTTCTTGGGTCGGTTGGGGTCTTCCTTCTTGCTTTGCATCTCGACACGGATAACTTCAATGGGTTGATTCCATGCGGAGAGACCACCTCCCAGACCAGAGGCAATGACCTTTTCGATGGCGCTCAGTTTTTGATTCTCGTCCTTGTTGGTCACCTTACGGATAGCGGACTCCGCTAGACGGGAGAGACCGAAGCGAGAACCCCAGTTCGTGGTTTGGCGGATAGCCACCGCGTTCACACCGCGGTTGATACCACGAATACCTTCCTTACGGTAGATATCCATGAAGGTAGCAAACGTACTCGGTGGCTTGACACCCTGAGCAGCCATCTTATGCTTGGTGATCTCGACCGTCTTCATGCAGGTACAGAAACCCATGGTCGCGTATGCTTGCGCAACACCACCCGTCATACCTCCAGCAATACCTGCCAGGAAGTCGGGGGCACCAAGCACCTTGGCACGGAATTCGGCCTCGGACGCGACGAACAAGAGGACAGCGCCTTTGGTCGAGGCCTCAATCCAGGCCCACGGAATGAGACCTTGATAATCTGTGGGATCATCCCGCATCAGTTGTTGTACCCCACAGCATCGGAACGCGGGCAAAAGGGTCACTTACAACCGAGGATCCCGCCACGACCCCATATCCGCGCCATGGCGCCGGCGAAGCTGTCGCCTCGGTTGGCAGCCATGGTCGTCTTGATCACTTCCAGTGGCTGGAAAATTGTAAGCGAAAGACATCGAGCCTCTGAAAATCAATGAAATATACCTGTCCCAGAGTGGTGACCCTGTGTTGCCCATTAGTCCCTCGACTCATAGTTTCCAATCAACGAAGGAGCTGATAGGAGAAACTTACTCGAACATGTTCAATCCTGCACCGACTGTATTTCCAATAAAATTAGAGTCACATCATAGACTGCAAGTTTTGCTGGCGTTGCGTATGATCCATGATGGGGAAGAGACATACGTAGCAGATTGCTGAACTTGACAGGCTTCTTCTCGAGAGCATGGCCGGTAGAGGCCTTCTCAGCAGTAGTGGTTGACATCTCTGGCCTTGGGGTAGCACTGAAAGGGGCCCTGACCAAGGGATGTAGGGGGCTTCGTTGCCTAAGGGATCACGAGAATATAAGAGCTGTTCGCGAGCGAAACAGTTTCAAAGGCGAGCAGAACAAGGAAGCTCTCGTCGAATAAGGTTGACGATAGAGACGGGGGTGGTAATGAATTGAGCCGGCGGGCAAAACAAAACTTTAATTGACAAGACAACAGAGGAATGGTAGAAGAAAGGAGGCGGGAGGGAAGTTATAAAGCAGCAGGGGAAGGGGGAACAAAGTCCGCCTGTTGCTTTGAGTATGAATCCTACACTGTACTTCGTAGTACGTGACGGAGTTGGATGACCAACTAATCAAGGCTAGTAACAGTTGTTGGCCTCAGGCCCAGTGCGTCCCCCTTCTTTCCCCCTCAAAAACTACAGGCAGTGGCACACTAGGCGGATCTGCTACCACAACAACGATAAATGGCCATTCCTATTTCCTGCCTATTTTCGGCGGATTGGGGAAACACTAAGCCACATTGAGCCACTATCGGGCCATTTGGCGCACTAGACCCATTGCGGGCCGGCGGTGTGATTTGACCCGAGGACGGACCGGATTTAAGTGGCTGTTGTGCATTCTGGAGCCACGGAGCAAACCGGGGCGCTCCCAACATCATCAACATTACCTTATTTATGGATTGGTTGAGAGATCAAATCTGCGCCGTATCATTGCTCGTGATTACTGCCTTGATCGCCAACTGGCGTACTCATATTCCCCTCCTTCTCGAGATATCTGCCGTTTCACTCGGTTCCCGCCCCCAAAAAGGAAAAAGAAAGGGGGACCTGTACACTTCATAGGTAAATTCTGATGGACGCGAATTGTAATCGTTTTCTACTCGACCCTAAATCCTATCATACACTAATCAAAGAAAAGCCCACGATACTCGGCACGTCCAGTCTAGTGTAACCAAATGTGTGAAAAATAATACAGATTGCTCTACTTAATCATAATCGAAGAAGATGGATCCCTGCCCGCTTTTGTCATGTCATCTCAAGAGGAAATTTACAGCTTAGCTCCAACGAGCTTGGCGTATGCCTCAGTGCTGAAACTCTTGGGGCGCTCAATGGGTGCACCGAGGGCACGGTCGATGATCAGTTGGGGTAGGACACCGAGGGCACGGGAGACGCCGAACAGGACAGTGTAGTAGTTGGCCTCGGTCAGGCCGTAGTACTGGAGAAGAACACCAGAGTGCTAAAGATGGGTCAGTCTACCGTGATCGTCCGCAATATTGAAACAATCCTTGAGAATAAAGTGAGGAACTTACGGCGTCAACGTTGGGGTAGGGGTTCTTGGTCTTGCCATGCTCGGTCAGGACACCAGGAGCAATCTTGTAGACCTGGCTGACCAGCTTGAACATGGGGTCATCGGGAAGTTTGCGGAGAGCAAACTCGCGCTGAGAGACGTAGCGAGGATCGGTCTTACGAAGGACGGCGTGGCCATAGCCAGGAACGACCTGACCGGCGTTCAGGGTGGACCAAAGGTAATCCTTGATGGCCTGGTCGCTGAGGTCATTGCCAATGCTCTTCTTCATCTTAGTGAGCCAGTTGAGCACTTCCTGGTTGGCCCTGTTGGAGAAAGGACACGATATTAGTAAACGATATTTATTCCCAGAGATCGAATTCACACCAGGGGCCGCTTACAATCCGTGGAGGGGACCAGCCAATCCATTGAGACCGGCAGAAAGAGACAGCATGGGCGAGCTCAGAGCACTGCCAACGAGGTGGGTAGTGTGGGCGCTGACGTTTCCACCCTCGTGATCGGAGTGGATGGTCAGGTACAGGCGCATAAGCTCAACAAAGTCATTGTTGTCACCGTAGCCGAGCTGGTTAGCCAAGTTGAAGGAGTAGTCCTTGTCCTTCTGGATAGGAGCGACCTTGCCATCCTTGAAGACATTGCGGTAGATCTTGGACGCAATGGTGGGGAGCTTGGCAATGAGATCCATAGAGTCTTCGTAGGTGTAGTTCCAGTAGTCCTTCTTGCTGATACCCTTGGCATAGGCCTTGGCAAAGGCAGACTCGTGCTCCAGAGCGGTAACGGCCAGGGAGAACTGAGCCATGGGGTGGAGAGTGCTGGGGCAGCGGTCGATGAGTTCCTCGATGAACTTGGGAAGGTCGGAGCGAGCAGCCCACTCGGCAGACAAGTCGCGAACCTGCTGCTCGGTGGGGATCTCACCAGTCAGCAGTAACCAGAAGAGACCTGAGTATTCTTAGCACAAGCTTCGTGAGACGTTATCCGGATTCTTGTACCTTCAGGTAGGGGCTCCTCGCCGCCGGGTGCCTTGGGAAGAAGCTTCTGGCACTCAGGGATCTGTCAAAAAGTGAGTATGCGCTGATTATGAATAGCATCACCAACGAGGGCCTACCGTGTAACCTCTGAAACGAATACCCTCCTCGGAGTCAAGCACAGAGCCCTGATAAAGAGAGTTAACTGGCATTCAAATCATCACCAAGAGTGAGGGAGAAGAAAAAGCTCTCTGAACCTACCTCCCAAACAAGGCACTTCACACCACGGGCACCACCGTAGGCCTGGTCAAGAGTGACCTCGCCGATGACCTTGCTACCATGCTCTCTGTAAACAACCGCTCACTTGATTAGCACTCGCTGTATGGTAGGTAGCAATTCAAAATACGCTGTGCGCCTACTTTCTGAGCTTCTTAACCTTCTCGATCTCACCGGGAAGCTTATCGGCGAACGTCTCCTTGAGGGACTAAAGGAAGAAGATATCAGTAAAGAAAACTCGAAATATGACAATTGAACCCAGGCAAGCGTCACGAACCTTGGCCTTGCCAGTAGAATAGCAACGCAAACCGTTGAAAGCAGCGGACTGCACGGCAGGCTTAGCCGAGATAGAGGTGGAACGAAGAGCGAAGGTTCCGAGTCTCATTGTGGAAGCCATCTTGTATCAAACAACTTATTGAAGTTGAATGTTTGGTATGGAAAGGAAAAGGAGGGTATATTGGGGATCTTGGTGTAGAAAAGGAGAGGTCAAAAGGAGGGAAGTGTCCAAAAGTTGAGGGAGAAGCTCTTTTGCGGCCCTTTTTTCCATCTGACCGTATCGGTACAGCCGGTACACGATTGTGACCGTACCGACCAGCAAGGAAGCGAGGCAATGATGGCAACAGCGTGTGCTCCGTACATTACGGTAACCCCCAACCCAAGGAAAGACGCAGCCGGACTCCCGAGTGCCAAATCCACCTTTTTTCCTTTCGGCGAGCTTCCTTGCGATGACGGATATTACTGTATTTGCGCCAACCAACGTTGCTGTTGGTTTCTCTGAAACTCCACCCGCCAAATTCCGTCGCACGGAAGAAACGGGAGCATGGAGTACTTACTTTAATAACTACAGTAGTGCCAAGGGCCGATTCTATATGATGAGAGGTATGGAACGCCAGGAATATGTAGTCAATATGGCACACTATACCACTCTAGGGAGTACGGAGTACAACTACGACTATTGTAGTTACCTAAGATACATTGTAGGTGGCTCGTGGCATTGCATAGATAACTCAGAGGCTACCTTATGGTTGGTGACGTCGGCAAGTCGCCATCAAAACTGCAGCCCGTGAACCGAGCCTTGCGACTGGCTCAAAGGAGTAAACTGATCTAGAAGAGGAAGCACGAGGTTCCTGTAGAGTTCTATCCAAAAATTTAAGGATAACAAATCTAATTGAGGCTACAGGGCTCTATTTTTACCTTTAAATAGGGATTGAAACAAATCACTTGAACATGAGACAATATAGAGAGGTAGAGAGCTATGTGCAATACAACACAATCCCAGTCGTTCATGAATTTCCTGATTCGACTCACCGAACTGAGCTAGTCTGTTACTTACCTTACAAGAGCTGTAATCAAAACGATTGAATCACGTGCATCATGTGATAATGAAGAACTTGAAAAAGAGTGTAAGCCTTAGGCAGACACCAGAGTTTGTCCTCCCAGATGGAGACTAGCTCAAGTCACTGGACTCATTCACCTGACTTATCCTTTTTTCTTTCCTTTCATCAATCCCCCCTGGTCCCTTCATCATCCTTCCATCTTCTCTCTATCTCAACAACGTAAATTACATCCGATTTACCTTCACATTCTTCTTCACTCTGCATCCTCTCACTTTAGGTTGTACCTGTACTTGTACTCGCTCGCGAGTCGCGAAGCCCTGGGCACCTTGCTAGCTGTGTTCCAGCTGTAGGCGGAAGACTCGTTCGTCGCCATCGTGCTCGTTGAGTCTGTAGTGACACGACTACAAGTGTGAAAATCCCGCTCTAGACAAACTTTCCTCACTTCTGAGAGGACGCAAGCTATCGCCAATTTAGGCATCACCAAATCTCTACTGTACTGGATTTTCCAGTAGAAACGCCTCGTTTTGGAGTTTTGATACTCTCAGCGTCTTATACATTCTCATTCCAAGCCGGAAGAATCAGCCCGTCTCACTCCAGGGAATTTTGGTAATTGTATGTCTTTCGTACCGCGCTGAGAACCCTGAACGACCATTATCAGCTATGTCTTCTGCTGTAGCAGAGTTGGAGAATTATCTCCAGTCTATGCTGGCTCTCAAGCCCCCAGGCGTTTCTGGATCTAAGATCAACAGCATCACGTCACTTTGTACAGCCAACGTCCAGGTATGAACAAATCTCGATATGACTACAAACTTGTGTTACCCGAACTACAAGCTAACTCCTGTCTTTTCTCATAGAACGAGTCCGTCCTTATTCAGAAGATTTATACACACTTCAAGAAGGCACCGGGAACACACAAGTTGGGCGTACTCTATGTCGTAGACTCTGTAACTCGACAATGGGTAGAAGCAGCGCGCAAGGCAGGCCAGCCATCTGGCAGTGCTGCCCCCGATGGAACATTCGCCGCTGGCGTCAACAGAGTGACCGAATTACTGCCTGTCTTGATGACTGATATCATAAACAACGCTCCTGAGGATCAAAAGGTACGCTTTAGATGCAATACGCGAATAATTTTGAAGCCGTTACAGGATTTGTGGAAAACATAGGAGCGATAAGAAACGGTGATCGATTTGTATCCCGTGATGGCTTTCCATGCTCCCAAATCATCGTATCCCTTTCTCGTCGCTTAAAGCGGCAATTTTTCCGTTAGGCTTCTGCTATCTCGTGTGACGAATAGTTCAACTTACGTATGCCACTCTCTCAATATATAGGAAAAGATCAAGAAGCTTGTCGATATCTGGGAACGTGGATATACATTCCCTGCATCCATGCTCGCATCATTCAAGGAAAAGTTGAATGCGCCTGCATCTCAGAGTAAGCTATCCCTTCTAATCCCCCCACGAAGCAGGAATTGGTCCTGGCGTACGTGGAATCTATCCAATCATTCTAGTCCCAGGGTTTCTAGTTGCAACCGCTTTGGTATCATACATCTAATGCCTCTCCATAGATGTTGAGTCTACCACTCCCGATGGATCACCTGCACCGAATTACATTTCACTGGGAGGTTCGCAGCAGCAGGCGAATGGCGCATCCTCGACAACTCCCGCTCAAGCAGCGCCTGACACATCCAGTATCTTGAAAGCGTTGGCAGATATGGCCAAGCAGAACACAACTACGCCAGCCGTTCCAGCGACGACTAATCCACTAAATGCATTGAACATGCAGGGTACAGTTTCACAGCCCGTGACCTCGTCCGTAGACCAGGCTTCACAACTTCAAGCTGGACAGGCTGGTGTAAATCCTTATGCCGCTGGCACTATGGCAACGCCGTTCGCGGCTTTGAGTAATCTCGCTCAGAATCCGGCATTAATCCCACCGCAAAGCCAGAGTCAGACTCCTCCAAACCCACTCGCTGCCGCGGCCAATCCCCTGGCCGCGCTATTGCCGCAGGCGACCGCTGCCGCAGCTCAACCGACTCCTAGTATAGCGCCGGACGCCCTGCAGCAGCAGCTGCAGCTCTTGCAGCTTTTAGCCGCACAGGGAATTCCGCAGGAACAGTGGGCCACCGCCCTGCAGATTCTCAGCTTGTCTAATGCGTCAAACATGGCCAATGCGAGTTCTGGGCAGCCAGTTGGCTTCAACTTACCCAGTCAAACAGCCGCTGCCTGGGGTAGCCGTCCAGATTCACAGTCACGTGACTTTGATCGAGGGGATCGTGAAAGAGACCGCGACTACATGCGCTCTCCTCCAGGCCAGTATCGTCGCCGATCTCGATCGCCAGGATGGGAGCGACGTCGCGATGTGTCACCCCCTCGTCGCCGTGATAGCCCTGTTTATGGAGAGTATCATGGTGATTCTCCTGGTCGTCGGGGTGACATGCGTGGTCGACGAGGCAATGATTATCGTCAGCGCAGCCCGCCCGGGCGTAGACGGCGTTCTCCTACTCCCCCTCGAAAGGACCCGGCACTGCCTCCTCCAGGCCCTAAATTCATCGAGTGGGATTATTCTATCGGACAAGGAAACATCAAAGGTTCGTAGCACGAATTTCTGGATCAGAGTGTGCTGCATCGGGAACTTCAGCTAACATCTATTGTATAGTTCTGAGCAGAACTCTTTTTGTTGGTGGTGTCACGTAAGTCTACAATTATTTCCGAGAAAAAGGGTCTTATATACTGACAAATATTGCAGCTCTTCGGAGGCACATCTGCGATCCTTGTTCAGCAAATTTGGTATTGTCCAAACTTGCATCGTGAACGTCGACAAACGTCACGCGTTTATCAAAATGATCAGTCGTCAGGACGCCATCAGTGCCCGGGAGGGAATGGAATCTTATAAGTCCGGTGACATGCAGCTTAGAGTAAGTGTCTGTTAGGAAGTTTGTTGTGTTTAGGAAGTGCTCTGACAGAATTAGACTCGATGGGGTGTCGGATTCGGTCCACGAGACTGTAGTGACTATCAGACAGGCATCAGTGTCATTCCAATCGAGCGACTCACGGAAGCAGATCGTAAGTGGATGCTTACCGCTGAATATGGTGGAACAGGAGGGCGACCCATTGAGTCTGGCATGGTGGTTGAGGAACCTGACATTGAAATCGGTGCTGGCGTTTCTTCGAAGGGTAAGAGGATTTCTTTCTGGTTCCTCGTACTAACGTAGTGAAGTCAAGGCTAATTATCTGCCCTATAGCCATTAGTAGACGGATTGCCACAGACACGGGAGGGAAACGCGGACCGGTGTCGTCCCGCACGCAGCAAGACCGATTCCGTCGCCCAGAGCGTGACGTGCAACCGGCTGGAATGGGTCCTGGTGGCCCTGGCCCTCATGAGGGTCGTGACCCCTCGGCGGTCAATAACGTTGGCGTACCCCCTGCAGTGCCTGGGTTCGGATTTTCGTTTCCCGGGATGCACATGTTTCCTCCTGGCTTCATGATGGGAGGGGCTCAAGCTGGATCTTCCGGCGGACCAACCCAACCACCACCACCTGGTCAGGGAAGTTAAGCCTTCAATCCGATTCTCTTCAACACAACCGATCATATCGCGTGAACAACATTGCATTAGCTTCACCGTGTACACAGTCTTGTCTTCATCCGGCGACTCAACCACGTTTCGTTTTCCCCTTCTCTTTTTACGTCTCATGTACCATTTCTCTCAAACAGGGTTATCCGGGAGTTTGAGTTCTCAGGGCTGTTCTAAACATGGATTTTGCTTTACTTCATAGAGGGTCTAACCTAGGATGGCACATTGGCGGGAGACAAGTTGCCTTTATGCTCCAGTCACACTTGCAGTGAGACCATCTCGACCAGAGCAAAAACAGCACTCGTCGAGATATGTGAAGTGAGAGGTGGTTGCATGGAGCTGGATACTGCCATTGTATCATGGCTGTTCTACCTTCCGCCCATCATATCGACCTTCCACTGCTGGTGTTGATATGCATTTAGCTCAAGTAGGTTGAGACTCTGAGGTGGCTCTTTGCGGTGTTGTACCGTTACCTGTCTTCCTGCGTTCA